TTTCTTTCTTTCTTCCTTCCTTCCTTCCTTCCTTCCTTCCTTTCTTCCTTTCTTTCTTTTTTTTTTGAGACGCCTCATAAATTAGAGATAAAGAAGTGGAAAATTGGTATAGAAAATGTGTGATGTTTTAAAAGCAGATTTGTTGAGGCATAATTGACATAAACTGTATGTATTCATAGTGCAGTTTGATACAGTTAATGTATGTCTGGTCCTCCACAATCAAGATAATGAACATCGCCATCACCCTCAAAAGTTCCCGTTGTAATCCTCCCTCCTCCCCTTCCCCATCCACTGATCTGCTTTGTGCTATAATTCTAATGATTAAAGGTTTTTTAATTTCAAACACCCCTCTTGAGGCTATCATGTAACTTTTATTTGGAGAGAGCATCAAAAAGTCTAAATTTGAGAGCCATCAAGAACGTGAGGCTTTCCTGCTGCCTCCACCCCATAATAGGCTCCAACCCCAGTGCCCCCTCTCCATCCTTTCCTAACCTCCAGGTTGTCTTCCCTGGGCTGGAGAGAGGCTGAGATCCAAGATTTGAGGGATGGGGCTTAGGGAGGCATGGGGGTGGGAAAAGTTGTAAAGGCCTAAATTTTCTGTTCTCATTTTAACAAGAAAGAAAGAAAAAGAAAGGCAAGATCTAGGTTGATTCTTCAGGGAAAGGGCTATTTCTGTAGTAAGAGGCCCAGCAGGCAGGAGTCACCTTCAAGAGGAAGGGAGGGGGCTAGGGCAGAGATTTGAGAGCAGGATGGCAGTCCTTCCTGACATCTAACTTCCTTCCCTCCAGCTATACCCCTGGTCCTGCCTAAGGGTAGACAGGAAATGATGCAGGCTCCCTTCTCCCAGCATCTTTCTTCAGTCGGCCTCTTGTCTGATTGAGGGCTGAAATTCCATTTGTAGTCTTTTTGACCTCTACTCCCCCAGGCAGTGCACCCCTCCTTCCTAGGGCCTCTTTTCCTGCTAATCTCCAGTGTTCCTTGGCCCTGGCTCCAGAAATCACCCTTCTCCCTCCTGTTCGATCTCTGCCTCTGGGGGCCCCTTCTTCTGCCCATCTGCTCCCCACTTCACTTTCAGTTGTTATGTCCCCTGCCAGCAACATGCCTTTTACAGGTCAATAAAATTAGCGACTAGGGGCAGAGGGAGGAGGGCAGGGGCCCAGGGGTGTTAAGCTCAATGGCCTTGAATGTGGCTGGACGCACGAAGTCCGGACGCCTATCATTCCAGGGCTAAACAGTGACAGCTGAGGGACCTGAGCTGGCATTGGGAGTTGGGGGGGGGGTTCGTATGCTGCTGGGAGAGAGATGGACTGAGGATAAAGATGTCTGGGGCACCTAATGGTCCCCTCAGGGGCCTGAGCCCTTACAA